ACAAGATATCGGATTCAAATCACCAAGTTTCACCAAAAAGGCAAGTTCTTAAAGCTAAAAACAGATAAGAGATAAGATGATTAGGTTTTTAGTCTCAAAATGTATATATAGCAAAGGTAAAGTGTCGCGGGTCAGCCCGGAACAAACCGGGTACTGAACCGCGATCTTGGGTTGATGGGTGAGTGCCACGGTGTGTCGGAGAGTGAAGCCGAGGTCTTCATGCCGAGGAGTGCACGTGAGTCCAGATCCAAATGAAGATCTCGTGAAGAACACGTCAAGAACATGCATGAACCCTAGTCTTTGATCCATCTTCACGTGTGTATTCTTGGGCAGCTTTGTTCTTGATTCTGGGTTTGTGACAATGGACCTCGGCATGAAATGCCGAGGCGCTTGGTAGTCGAGGGGTTTGATCGAACAGGGTTCGGCATGCACGCCGAGGTCGCTACACCGAGGTGCACGTTCAACACTTAGTCGTTTCCAGCTTTATTTCTTACGTGTGCATGCCTTGATTCCAACGTGCCGAGGCGTCAGCACGAGGCCTAGTTCAGAATACTCCCAGAATACGAGCCTTGACTTGGCCGATGTCGAGGTAACGATGCCGAGCCCTGAGAAAACACTTAGCGCGTATCGCAACATATTTGGGTTCGTATCGACCATGTCACCTTTCGGAAGCCGTAACTTTCATCCCACGACTCCAAATGCTCTGAGACCAGTTCCATAGTCAAGATGACTCAATGAGCTCGAACTTTGGTGAAGAAACCGTCGGAGCTTGGGAAGTGGAGGGCTTCCTGGATTTCACATCTTTGAACCGTATTGGAATCACCAGAAAATAAGCATTTTAGACCGATGTGAACTCCGGAGACTTTATCTTCCAAACCACTGCTCCGAATTTAGCGATCCCAACTGTTATGAAAGGGTCTTTCACAGATCTCAAACTTTGATGAAGACCGGGCAAGCTGATTTGGTCCGGAAAGGCTCCGTCCGCCGTGATCTTTGTGCTCCGCCGTTCGGTTCTCGGATGCGCGTAATGTTGGTGCATCTTCCGGAGGCTGTATCTTTCTCTCCACGGGTCCGAATTGGATGATTCCAACTGTTCTGGGATCTTTGTTTGATTATCTCCAACTTTGCTGAAGACCCTGCCGACTGGTTCGGACCGGAAGGTTCCCCGGATTGCTGATCTTTGAAATGCGCGGACAAGGACAAATTTTGGTCGAGAAAAGCTTCCCGCGGTAAGGAAAATGGCCGAGGGCTGTGTACCGCGGTAAGCTTTTTGGTCGTAAAAATTCCTTCGCCTCGGCCAAAAACTCAACCCGTGGTATTTGCACCTGATCTTCGACCCAGGCTGACTTTGGTCGATCGGTAAGCTTTTTGGTCGAGGTTGAACGATCGGTAAGGGTTTTGGCCGGTAATGAGCGATCGGTAAGGATTTTGACCGAGGTTTCTGTCCGTCCGGTACGCGATTTGGCCGAGAAATTCCTCCAAGCGGTTTTCACCATTTTTGACCCTTTTCTTCATCGTTTTCTCCTCTGCTCCTCTTCTTAAGCTCCAAACGACTCCCAAAGCACCTGATAAAGACTTCAAAACATGCAAAACTCTTTGGGACCTAATGCAAGCCCTAAATCCTATTTTCATGCCTAAAGACACAATTTACATGGGAAAACACATGATGAGGACTCTAAAATGCTCTCTAAATGATGTAAAATATAGACATATCATGTTGTCCTAGATGGCGAGTTCATCTTTAGCTGGTACCACACCCTTTACCCAAAAACCATCAATTCAAACTTCATGCATTCTCTCTTTAGCTCTTTTGACAGATATGTGCAAAAACGCCGGAGAAGGAGGAACAACATGGTTTTCAGTCACTCAAGAGAAAGACTGAAGAAATTTGGGAAAGTGAAGCATCCAGAACCTATCAAAGCCTAATGGTACCTAAAAAACCTTGAACTCAAAGGTAAATTTTGTGCCTTCTAAGACTCTACATCCAAAGGCATTGTTTAAAACAAAAAAATCGAAAAAGGAAAGGAAAGGAAAAACAAAAAGCCAAAAAAAATCCAGGACGGCCGAAATTATTTGAAGCAAAGGCTACAAATATTCATTTGTGAGTATTGGTTTTAAGCCTGGAAAAAAATCTAAGTCTGGGGGAGTCATGAGGAGAACCTGAAGAAAGGAAATCATGAATCTTAAGGCAAGAAGAATGTGACTGGAAACTGCGAGGGCATCAACAGTTCCATCCTCTCTTCCTTTTTTGCATAATGTCCTGTCTCTCCAGGAAAAAGTAATCCTAAACACATCAAGCCTTACCATTAAACAACCACTTTGAATACCTAACCTTGACTGCTTTTCTAAAATCCTTTTGATGAGAACCACTTGAACTTATAAATGAATGTTAAGAGCTAGTTGACTGGAAGATAGGTTTGAGTGTCTAGATTTTCGCATGACGGATCAACGGACTCGTTATGCCTGTACTTTGGTGAGAAATTTCAAGACTATACCTGATTTCAGCATAATGACTAACTCTGGTTTAGAAGCATGGTCTCTGAGATTTTGTTAGTTCCTGTGATTTTCAAACCTCTTCTCCAGGTTCAGATCTTTGGTTTTGTTTGAGGACAAACAATGTTTAAATCTGGGGGAGTTGATAACACCTGATTTTGACCACTTTTATGGATCACTTTTAATATTTTATGCAAGTGTTTTCACTCAGATTTAAAGGTTTTTAAGTGATTTCCATGTTTTAGAATTTCAAAAGAGTTTTCAGGATATTTTGGCAAAAGAAATGCACTTGGGAGCAAAAAGCATAACTTTGGATAAATTCATACTGTTGGAAGTTTGGTAACAAATGGAGGCCTTCTCACCGTCTGATCATTCTCAAATTTGGATACAAGATATAAGAGACAACCAGCTTTCCAATTAAATTGTAATCAAATCAATCCAACGGTTAGATCTCCAGATATGGTCGATGCACTGAAGGCGAATCAACATAGTCGGAAGCTCACCCGCGGCCAAAAGCTCATCCGCCGGGGGTGTGAAATTTGAGACCGCGGGAGCTCAATTTCGAGCCTCAGAAGCCCATTTTAAAGCCCAAGTCACTCCCGTCATTTTTCCTGCAAGCCCTAGGCGTTCTCGAGGACTCAAGACATTATATAAACCCCTTTTAAGTCTTTTAGAAGAGTGTGCCACATTTTTCACCAAGAACCCTAGAAGAGAGTCTCACCGCGAAGAGGAGCACCATCGGTCCTCCTTCTTCAATCTGTTCGTCGTTCTAACTTTTGTCTATTTCAATTCTCTACAACTATAAATACTTTTGTGATGTTGAACTCAGCTATGTCTGAGTAATTTCCCAGTTGGGTTTTTAAGGGATTTTTCAAAGGGAATTTCATGTCCTGATCATATGCTTTGTTCGATTTAGGGTTTATAATCTTCTGGGAGTCCTTCGTTCATTCTTGTTCCTTATGCTGTTTCTGTTGCTAACCGCTTAGAAATTAATCTCAGTAATTGAAGGTACGAAAATGTTGTATCGAACTACCAGACCTATAAGTGATCGAGCGAAATCGCTATAGGAGACGAAAGCTACCTATAGAGAATCGCGAGCGTGGATGAATTCTGTTTTTAATGCATGATCTTATTCGCAGCATGAGAGCGAGAGTTAATTGCTATGTTAAGTTATTAGATGATTAGGGTGACGAAAGTTGGCTAATCTTACATGTGTCTATTCAAGTTCGGGATCCTCACTAGATGATTACCTTTATCAATTTGTTTGTCTTTTGATCAATTCATGAACCCCTGCGAAAACCCTTTAGACCCAGCGATTAGTTCTTATTGTTTTACAACTTCTTTATTTCGATTTGCTTTTAGATTTAGTGACACCAAAACCAAAAAGCTCCCATTTTGTTTGTTTCACTAGTCTTAAGTTTTGATTGATTCGTACTGAAAACTCAAAATCTTTGTGGGTTCGACCCCTAAGTACTACAACGGATATCTGTGCACTTGCAGATATTTAGGGTTACAAATTTAAAACGTGAAACTAGAAGTAACCTTTGATTCTCTTAGCATCAACGTCCTCACAAATGCTTTTTTGGACGAAGATACACTTTTTCCTCCTTTTTGCGCAGATCCGACATCTGACACCAAAACGATAACTCCTAGTACAGATCTCCGATCCGGAAAAACTCGGTCTTCTTAGAAAGCTAAAACTCGTGTCTTCATATTGATATGTTATCCTCACGTGGATCCGAGAGAGAGAGAGAGAGAGAGAGAGAGAGAGAGAGAGAAAGAGAGAGAGAGAGAGAGAGAGAGAGAGAGAGAGAGGAATGTGGCTAGTTGGTAAAGGTGAAGATGAGAGATTAAAGAAGTATTTATAGTTAGAATTTCATTTTATTGGACTAATAAATTTTTAAAATTGAAAATAAATAAAAAAATTAATATGAAATAATCAAAAATTAAAATAAATTAGAATTAAAAATCAGAAATAAACTGACATTTGGGAAACTGAAAATCGGTTTGTTACAAAAAGCATTTTTCTTGACCACATCAAAACATGTTAGTGACATCGACTAATTTTAAAACTGTTCAAGACCACTCCATATAATTTTTATCAATACGGAAGTAATGAACTCCAAAGCCTATCTACAATTTACGACATTGTTTTAAACTTTTGTCATTGACGGTATGGGTTTAAAACAACAAATTTTAACCAGCTTTAGAAAAATTCCTATCATAGTTTTCAAAAGCTGATTTAAATTTTTTTTTGCCTTTCATAGATCCCCTATTTGTCACTTGTAACCAAAAGAATCAGATCCTTCGAAAAAAAGAAAGAAAGAAGAAGCTGTTTTATTACCATTGGCATGATTTTTCAATCTTTTGATTCGATAATGAAGTAGTAAATAAAGAATAATAAATAAGGACCCCACATATTCTTCCCTCATGAAAGAAAACATTTCTTTTTTCTACAAATAATAAATGTTTAACCAAATAATTGAAAAAAGTAGCTCGAGAGAAGGATTAACAAGAAGAAGAAGAAGAAAGTAGTAGAAGAAAGAAAATTAAGGCATTCGCTACTTTACCAAAATCCCTCAAAACACATAAACCCCACAAACTCTTTCACAAAGAAAAAGAAAATATTGGTAAAGAAAAAAGATGAGAGCTTTAGAAGAATCCAGGATCTCTATTGTTTTGTTGCTTCTTTGCTTCTCAATCTTCATCACTTTCAGTCTCCAGGTGAGTGTGTTTCTTCTCACTTTATACCATTTCCTTGTGTTTTTTTTTTTAATCTTCAATTCGACTTCTTTGCTTAGATCTCCTCACTTATAATTTCTCTTCTCTTCATTTGGGTATTTCTAGTTTTGCCAAAAACGACTAAAAAATTGTTTCTTTGGTTTGGGTTAAACCTTAGGTTTTGAGCTTTCTTTCACTTTAATTACTGGGTTTTTTGCATCTCCATTGTTCAAGATTGTATGTTCTGTGCTCCAATTCGAATTTATGGGGAATTTGTTTAGGCGAATGAGCTAATACCATCATCTAAAGAAGAAGGAGAGATGAGGATGGTGCCATTAATGGAAGAGAAGTTTATGGTGATGAATGAAACAAGAAGGAAGCTTGGGAGTTTCCAGATATGTTCAGTTTGTACTTGTTGTGGAGGTGCTAAAGGTCTTTGCTTGCCTTCACCTTGTTGCTATGCAATCAACTGCAACATCCCAAATAGACCCTTTGGTTATTGCTCCTTCACTCCCAAAACCTGCAATTGCTTTGGTTGCCATATCTGAGATCTTTCGTTGTAAGCTTCTAATTTCTTCCTCTTGAGTTCTTCTCAATTCTTGGGTATTTCTTACTTCCTGTTTTGATGTTTTGGTTCTCTCTAATTTCAGGGCAGAGATAAGCTGAATCTCAACATCGTGATTCAACTGCAAGTATGAAAGGGAAGAAAAAAAAAGAATGAATATCTGTTCTTGGTATGGTTCTTTTTTTTTATATATAATTTATTTTCAGTCTTCATTAAATTTCATTACCTACTATCCTCAGCAACATCATCATCCTCATTAATTAGTTATCTTGTTGCATTGCCATTTAAAAATTTAGTGGAGTATCTTGTTACACTTCAAACAAGATTTTTTTTTTTTTCCTTCTTTCTTCAATCAATTCTATATCTGTCTCTTTTTTTCCTTCTTTTGTGTACTCCAATTTGTTTCTCATGGGTTAGTATTGTATCATTAGGATTGTAATTGTAACATATTTTTGGGAAGAGTCAACATTTTTTTTGTTAAACTGGCAAATGGAAGAATATAATATGATGATGATGATGATGATGATGATGATGATGGTGTTGATGGTGATGGTAGTGATGTTGAAGCTGTTAAAGTTAAGCCTTTGTGATGAGTGATATGTCAAGAATTTTAAGAAATGGATCGAGTTTAGTGCTCTGTTATGCTGTACTGCTCTGATAAGATCTAAGTGCCTGTTTTCAATATAAAATAGAGGAAAAAAGTTTTTTTCTTTTTTCGAGTAAGAAACAAATATTCATCTTCAAGTGCAGAGACTTGACAACATCTTATCATTATCTTTGAATATGTTTGTTTATTGAGTGTAAAGAGACATAGTTATTGTAAGAGTTGTTTGAATCAAATGTTTGTTCCAAGTTCATGCTTTCTCTCTCTCCTCTCTCTTATTAGCATTTTTAATCGGCAAGATCTGAAAATTAATTACTAATCATTCATTATTATTATTCACACATGACATATCACAAAGCTGTCTTGTAAAGAAATTAGTCAATGTATTGGTGGTAAAGAGTGTTGACCTTGCCAGTTTCCCCGTGATCGGCTTTAAATAATTGCACAATTTCTTTAGATAGTAATTTGCCAATCTAACACTTTCAAAACTTAATTTGTAAATTTATAAAAGATTAATGCTTACGGAACTATCTTATTGTAGAGGGATGGGTGATGTATAAGTTTTAGATAACCAGCTAGGAAAAAAAAATTAAACCCTTTGCAATTTTTCATGTAAATTTAAATAAGAAATATTAATTTACATTAGCCAAATTTAACACAAAATTTAACAATACTACATTAACCAAAGTCTATATTATCATATAATGTTATTAGCATTTTATGTAATATCTTATTTTGATGATGTATGTATATATCCATAAAAGTTTTATCATCATATTAAATTTTTGTCATTGTTGAAGACTATAGTATGCAATTTTTTTAAGAAATAAAAATAAAATTAAATTTGCGCGTTTATCATTAGAGTTAATCTGTGTTAATGTAATGCATCTTTATATGTTTTTGAAGATAAGCCCCCGACTATATATATGACGTTGTCACTCTCTTGTATATCTATTTACGTGTGTCGTAATAACAATGATGGTGTACACCAGATAATATCTTTTGGAATGTCTTTAGTTCTTCTAAACGTTGGAAGTTCATCTTCATTTAAATGATAACGGGAAAAACGAGTTGTAAACTTATGACCAGTTTTTAACGTTCTAAATATTGAATTATATGAAGTAATATAAAACCAACATATATATCCAAATCTCATTTTTCTATTTTTGTATATTGTAGTGAAGTAATAAAGACAAAAACCACACACCCAAAAATGTGAACATAAAGATAAATTTTACTTTGACCAAAAAAAAAAGATAAATTTTACTTTCGACTATATGCTAATTGTAATGGAAAATATTAAAATAAATATCAAATTTGGAATAGTACAGTAGCATGCAAGAACCAATCAGTTTCGGGTATTTCGAGTAAAAAGAGTTAAGACCCATCGGATATTTTTATAGATTTTGGTTTAGGTTCAGTACTTCTATAATTTCGGTTTGATTTCGCTTCAGATATTTGGGTCCAGGTTTTTTTGCCTAGATCTAAAAAAATTTCTTAATTTTGAGAACTGATAAATACTAAAAAAAATAATTTAGTTTGACTCGAGTTTTTTTAACACAAATTATATCTAAAAACTCAAAATCTACCTCAAAATCCAAAAATATACCAGAACCTCAAAAAAGTAAAAAAAAATATATCTGTAAAACCAAAAATATACATAAAGTATCCTAAATACAAAAGAAAAATAACTAAAATTTAAGGATATATAACTATACTTTAGATAATTTGGATATCCGATCGGTTTTTAGTTCGATTCTAGTTTGGTTCCAATTCTTTGGGTATAAGAGTTTAGGATCTATCGGTATTTTTATAGATTTTGGTTCAAATTCGGTATCTCTATTTCAACTTGGTTCCAATTCGGATATTTGAGTCGGGTTTTTTCAAGATTGTGTGGGCTATTTCAAAATTAAAAATTTAATATTTTATATAAACATTCTAACAATCCAACTGTTTAATGAAAGATTCAGCATTTCCAATTTCTCCTTTAAAAATAAAATTTCTTCAAAATGAAAAAAAAATGAAGAAAGGTATCCTCCAACAGTTTGCTTTATTTGTATCTTAAGCATTTTATTCCAAGTATACTCTATCTTCATTTTATTATTAATTGTTAACAAGACTCTTTATTTCTTAGTTTTACAATCTTTTACCTACTTATTTTATTTAGAGAAGTTCAACAAAATTTTGATTTTATATAACTTAAATATTTATTATATAAAAAACTACATTATATAATGTAATGAGAAAAAACAACAATATAATTTTATGATATACTAATAGATATTATTTTCTCATAAATGATCAGTTAACGCTAAAGCAAAAGATTTTCTTTTCTATATAATACTAAATTTTATTATATTTTCTCTTTTATATGTGATTATTACATTTTTACTTTATAATTTGATTGGATAAACATATAGTTTTAAAATTAATTGGATAAAAGAAAACACTGTTTCGGTACCATACAAAGCTTATAAAAAAATTAATACACATATTGTAAATAAAAAATTTCAAAATAACATAAATGAAATTGAAGCACTATTAGAAATAATTTCTTTATTTTTATCTTTAAAATGAAAGAAAATATGAAATTTAAAGGATTATTGGAGATGGCTCAGTCATATTTTTTTGTGTATAAATATGAAGTGTTCAATATCAATTTTCAAAGACATGCAATATTGATTAAAGGCTTATGAAGTGAATCTATTATCCTTATCGAGTCTAACTTTCTTTACGGCATAATGAAAATATGTTCTTAATCTTGTTATTTAGACAATAAATTTTGCAAATTGTACATCCATTAAATTTGATCCTAAATTAAACATCTAAAATGATAATATCATCCAACATCCTCATACAACAAGCATGGCTTAGGACATTATTGCGTAACTTTAAACTATATATAGAACCCCATCGTTATAAAGTTCTCAACTACTTTGCTGGCCTCAAAGGAAGCCGAATTTGGTATGAGAAATAAATAAAATACATATCTTTATATGTTGTCTCAATTTTGGTTTCCAGCTCTGTCAGTCTTACTAGATAATAATTTCAGTTCACTCTCAAAATCTCATTGACGAGCTTTATATATACTCAACACACTGAGAAAATAGTGGTGGCTTTGTAGTTAAATAGAATCAAAGGAAGCAAAAGAGATAGATTGCTATGAATTGACTATTGAGTGTATGGCTTCTCAACTTGCATGAGTAGGTTGAAAAGTTGGGGAAGCAGATTTAATCCCAAATCTATAAATTAATAATGACTGAATTTCATGAATTAGTTGTTATTGGCTTGTGTTTCTTTTTATTTTCATTCTATATTATTATTAACACATGATCGAAGATTTATTATAAAGATTTTATTTTTGTTTTACAAATAACAAGAATGTCAAGTTTTTAATGAAAATTTTAAAAACTAAATCTCAATTAACGTGTACTGTCTTCAGCTTATTAGTTACTAGTTAGAGAGAAAAAAACTTATTTAGTGTACAACATACTGTTTTCTGTATAATCATTTATTGAGACGCTAAGAGATGATGGTAAGGAAAAGTGATACCATCATTTTTTCTAACTATAATGTCATCTCGTACTGCTATCTAGTACCACCATATAATCGATTTGATTATGATGTAAATGTGATTTAAAATTTCCTATTGAGAGATCACCAGATAATATGATCATATATTTGTATATTTAGATGGTATATTAAATCAATTATTTGTGTGGAACATGAGGGGCTTATTAAATACATTCGGTGGTCTATTTAATATCTAGAGCAAACTTCATGAACCTCTCTGTCTCTCATGGTATGTCAAAACCAAATATACCCCATTATCATACATTGTTTTCTTTTGACCATTATAGCCAACCTGTATTATTCGTAAATCTTCTATTATTATTTGAGAAAGGACATTTAAAAAAAACTTTAATGTCATGTGTTATAACAACTTTGATATGCTGATGTGTCAATTTCAGAGAGCTTTTCAAGAATTTTTTGAAATTAGATTCAATTTACTAAATTAATTACATCATATGCCATTAACATTAATTTAGTTAAAGATTAGTTTGTATCAAATATATATTTAATACTCAAACATTTAATTTGTAAAGATATTTTCTCTCTCTTTCTATTTCTTATTAACATATTTATAAATTTTTAATACATAATATTACTTATGTTATTAAACATTATTTTCTTATCTCATCTTTCTTTAATCTTAATTTTGTTAAAAATAATCATATTATCTATTTAATAATAAAAAATCTAAATTTTTTCATTCATATTATAGTTCCTATTTTTCTATATCAAATCTAAGTATCTTAGTTTAATGTTAGACCGGTTAGATAGAACATATTAATCTAATTTAATATATTTAATGTGTAATTTTATTTATATAAAAAATACTACTAAAATTAATTATAAAATTAATTATAAAATTAATAATTATCTAGCATTTATGAAATTATTTTATAACATAAATATAACTTTAATCATTATTTATAATTACATAATCATCATATATATTTATAATTATAAATATCAGCTAACATTTTTATTTATATATATATATTATATTTACATATTTGAATAAAAAAATTATGGTTAATATTTACCAACACGGATAATCAACTAGTTATCTTTAAATAATAACAACACAAATCAGTTTATAGATATGAAGCATATTTTCCAAACAACAGTTCACATGGTACTGATTGAGAAACATCTTTGACTGTCAGAAAAAAAATAGCTCATTTATTTTTGCTTATATGAGCTTTGATACTAAATTGAATAGTACAAATTGAAAACAGACAAAGAAATTGTTATCCTTTTTGATTTGTAATCTTAGTTTTGATTATCATTACCAAAACCTTCATAAGAGCGATTCGAAGGAACAAATGCGGAAGGCTGTTTAGTAACAGCAGTCAAGATCTCTCCATAACCAACAACTCCAACAAGAACATCATCATCAGAATCAGCCTCTGTAACCCAAACATGTGTGGCTCTATGAGACAGCATCTGAGCCATAACCGCAGCTAATGAGCTCGATGTTTTGCAAGTTAATGGTGCACTTCTTCCCCTGTACATGCTCCTACCAATGCTCAACCTCGTCGGGCTTGTTGGATTAAAACCAATGCTCCTGCTACTGAATTTTTTGGCCTTTGTTGTCGATGTTCCATTCTGCTCTCCAACAAATGAAGTTTGGAGGAAGTCGCTGAATGATCTTGATGACATGTTATCCTCAACTCCCATGACAAATTGTCCTGCGTAGAGGTTAGCTAGAGCCCAAGCTGCAGCTAGATAATCGCATTTCCAGAGCTTTGAAGCTGAGATTTCTCCTATTATCTTGAACTGTTGTTCGTTTTCGGTTTGTTCCAACACAGCGATGGCACTAGGATCACACGGTGGCCTTCTGGTGGCTTCGATGGCCGGACAAGAGGCTTCAATGAAGTTATAGTTTAGATTGATGATATCAAGAGAGGAGATTGATGTGAGCGGTAAAGGAGCTAATGCTCCAAGGACACCTATAAGGAAGCGAATCACGTCTTCTCTTGAGAGACAGCAAAACTTGTCCCGGCTTGAAGCCTTGGAAGTAGCAGGCCTGTTGGTGGAGTCAGCAGTGAGACTACTACTGCTGGAGTTTTCACTGTTCTTCAGCCATTTTCCGTTGTAAAGAATGGAGAATCGCTTGCTCATACCTCTCCAGACAACGCTTTTCGGAACCAGAAGTCGTCTCACTCCTTGTTTCATCATTTCCAAAGCATCTATCAACCTTGCATGATAATATTCTATCAACAGACGTATCAAAGTAATCTGAAATTTTCAAGACAACAAAAATTAACCCTAAGTAAAGTAAGATGACGACCAAGGAACATGGGAGCCAGCAGATGTATGCATCGGATCCTAGTTTAGAGGAAAAAAGGTAGCGTTAGGGAAACCGAAACATCATATTCGAAATAATAGGGAGTCTAGGATTTCTAAATCATTAGAGTTCAGGAAGTAATCTAGCACAGGTTTTCGACCTCAATTTAATTTACCAACTCAACAGTTTCTGGATGCTGAAGAAAACGTGACAAATCCTGATCGATACGCACAAGGAAGGAAGAACAAAGATGAAGATACACAGGAACCACTCTATCGTATATATATATATACACAAACAGGCTTCTGAACCGCATTTCATATCCAGTTGGTCGAACTATTCACTGGTTGTCTACTTACATATAAAATGTTAGCCAGTGGACACACAAACTAGTATTAAGCAAGGAAGGTAATTCCATCAACAGACATATCAAACTCACTGCGACAAAGGAATCTGAAATTTTTTAAGACGCAAAATATGAGGATCAAGGGAGCCAGCAGCTGTATGCATCCTAGTTTATAGGAAATGAAGTAGCTATAGGGAAACATCATATTCGAAATATTGAGTCTAAATTTTTTAAATTATTAGAGTTCAGGCAGGAAGCTAGCACGGGATTTCGACAAATCAATTTAATTTTACAAACTCAATCTGCATTCTCATGAAACCGTGACACATCCTACCTGGTCGATATGCACAAGCAAGGAAGAACAAAGGTGCATATAGACAGGAAACACATAGAACTATTCACTGGTTGTTTAGTTACATATAAAATGTTAGCCTGCCGAAACAGTTCAGTGACTCTATTTACTGGAAAACAAGATATATTTACAAGGTAAACTGCCATCAACTCAATAAACATTCATACATCTTGCCTTTCACTAAATCTGAAGTGCAATTGAGACTAACATTTTACAGTCTCTGAAACAAATGATACGCATCATTCAGCTTTTAAAACTAATGATCCCGAAGCTTTTTAAATTTCTCAGAGAAAAATGCCAACTGGAAAAAAAATCATAAAAGTGAAATTTGATTTACTAAGGGTTAAAGGCTTTTATTTTTTTTAGATGACTCGTAGAGGCTGTGGGCATAGCGATGGGCATATTTATAGTTAAATAGCAATCCTGCTTGTAGTGGGTGAAAATGACGATAAAGGAGAGAAGGATACGTAAAATATTTTAGTGAGACAAATACAAATTAATCATTTTAGGTAGTAAAAATACTAAACTTTACAGAATCTAAGAAAAGGTCTATTTAATCATGTCTTTCTTGTTTTTTGTTGTTAGTTGATGACAATGTTATATCATTTCAAAAACAAAGGTGGTTGCAGACATAAAAGAAGCATTGACTAAGGTCTAAGCAAGTTGAGGAAAATTGAGGAAAAACATAAAAAAGTCAACAAGATTCGACCATTTAAAACTACTCTCTTTCTAGTAGTTGTGTTTTCCCAGATGTTTGAAACATTTCTCAAACACTGAGCACAAAAAAACATTTTTGTAAACCAAGGTTGGCGATTTGAGGCACGAGGCCATGTACCTTTACTATTTTATCTTATCTATCAATAAAATAAGAAGATAGAAGAGGACCAAGAGTTCCCCCTTTCTTATATCTAACATTAAAAATGAAGTCAGATTTATCAAATTGTGGGTATCTAAGCACATGGCCTATATGTAAGAGTTTCTCTGCTTACACGTTGAGAGATTCAGTCAATTATCACTACATAATAGAAACGGAAAAACGGGATCTTATTTAGTTTTCAAGTCGAAACAACTGACACACTTTGGTTTTCAACTAGATCCATGCTCATAACAGTGGAATTTTACGAATAAGAGATCAAATTCTTGCCATTTCACTAAATATATGGTTTTTTTTTTTGTCACACATCATATGCTTTATGACTAAAGCAAAATCCAAGATATATGCCTCAGATACACCAAACCCAACTAAACCGGGGAATAAGTGACCAGCTTTGGATGTTAAACGGGAAATGAGCAAAACAGTAGTAACTTATGAATCAGATTATCAATTTTTCTTGTCATTCTAATGGTAAAGTTGAGATCTTAGATGTATGCAACTAAAATAGAACTAATCTCGAAAACATCGAATAGAACTAAACCGGGAACTATTCAAGGAACAAAAAACTTCAAATTTGCGAGCTGTACGACATAAATTGAGCTAGAGATGTGACCCTTTTGAGTAAAGTAGATCCTATAACTAAACCAGGAATCATTCAAGAAACACAAACTCAAATTCGCGACCTTTATGACACCAAACAGAGCTTGAGCTAACCTTGTCCCAGGATCAACTTGTTTGAGGAGAGTGTTGTTAGGGCAAACAACCTCAGAGACAGGGATCTTCATAGCCTTTTCTTCTTGCAAACACTCGCTCTTAGCTAAGAAAGCAACGATATCGAGAGAATTCAAAATCCCAACGAATCTATGTTGTCTCATCTCGCTATTCTCCACGAACCCAGGAATCGACGGCGTTGATCTCTTCCTCCAAACCGGAATCCCACACTCCGTCGATTCTCCGATAGCTCGAATCGCCGATTCCACCGACTCCGTCTCGTAAAACTCCACCATCTCTGGCTTCCCCACCGTTAGATCTCCCACCACGTGATACAAGAAAACCGATGCCATCACGAAAATCTCGATTTGTAATCGAAGGAGGAAGAGTGCAAAAGGGAAAGAGTTATAAGAGGGAGTGAAGAAAGACGAGGAGGATGTGAAGACCGGTGATTGGTGATCGGAGAAGGATTAAGAGGAGGAGGAGAAGAGAATTCGACATTGATATCCCATGAAGGTGTTTTTAAGAGATTGTTGTTGGTGACACTCAAGAGAGAGAGACTGATCAGACTTTGTGGATAGAGATCAACCTCAGCGATTATTGGGTCCGGATGTAAATTATAAGGAAAGTTATGGATTTATTTAGTAAGAAATGAAATTTGGAAACATATTGTTGTAATTAAATGTATATAATTGACCAAAAAATTGAAATATCAGAAATAGCTAACGATAGTTAGCCGCCAAGAGCCGCCCCGCAGATCGGATTCCGGGATCCGGGAATTTTGGTATACTTCTTCATCCGTCAAGATACAAAGCAATGGGATGTTCCTCTACTTAGAGAACTTTTTCAACTTGAGGATGTCTCCCTTATCCTCGGGTTGAGACCTAGCCGTACCCGTACCCTGGATGGATATGTATGGAATCATTCCAAATCGGGACTTTATTCAGTTAAGTCGGGATATGATCTGTTTCGAAGGACGAAGTTAGAACGGGAAGTTGGAGCGTTGAGGGAACCGAGTATCACAGCCCTACAACGATATGTTTGGAAAGTCCGTACACCTGGAAAAATGAAACACTTTATGTGGCAAGCTTTATCAGGGTGCATTGCTACATGTCAGAATCTCACCTACCGACATATGGGTTCAGACAAACGTTGCCCTCGTTGTGGGGATCCTGAGGAGTCCATAAACCATCTACTGTTTTTATGTCCCCCGGCCTTACAAGTCTGTGCGTTATCGGACTTTCCGTCCCTTCCGGGTGTCTTCCCGAGTACCTCTATTTATCAAAATATGAGTTTTCTCTTTTGGAAAACAAAAGAGCAAGACATGACAGATCCTCAAAAGGATGTATATCCTTGGATCCTATGGTTTATTTGGAAAGCAAGGAACGAGAAAATCTTCAACGGGAAAGAAATTTCCCCGGAAAACACCTTGATCCACGCGAAGGTGGAAGCAGAAAGTTGGAGATTAGCAAACCAAGCTGAAGACGATGATGCTGCTCACGTTGAGGCGTTGGCCCCCCCTCCGGTCTCGATATCACTACCCGAGGTACCGCAGACCCCGATATGCCGGATTGATGCTTCTTGGATCAATCACGGACAGGTTAGCGGCCTTGGTTGGAGTTTTAAGGATGGCAGAGGAACGGAGATTTTTGGTCTACAGGGATGTCGTAGAAGCCTCTCGGCTCTTCACGCCGAGATGGATTGCCTCTTATGGGCTATGTCATGCCTGAGAGAAAGACAGATGACGTCGGTGCATTTTCAGACCGACTGCTCGGATCTTGTGAGCATGTGTGAATCACCAGCAGACTGGCCATCTTTTAAGACAGAATTGGAATCCTTTTGTATACTTCGCGAGAGCTTCTCAGAGTTTACCTTATCCTATATTCCGAGAATTCAAAATGTCCGGGCGGATAGTCTTGCAAAAGGAGCTCGAGCGAGAGGAGTTATTTTTTCCCAAATCGATCATAACGAGCCGGTCGAAGATGGTTTTCAAACCACTTCTAAGATAGGCCAAATGTGATTGTAATAGTTGGGTAGCGGAAAAAAAAAAAGCTAACGATAGTTTAATAAAATATATGAAGACGACACATGTAATTGTAACTAGGTATCTATCCGCGTCGCGTGAACACAATCATCATATAAATTTTATTATAATTTGATTATTAAAATTCTTGTAATATAAACATCACATTTTTATTTTCAATAATTGAGATAAAATATTGTTTAATAAGATCCAACACACAAGTTTTAAGTTATATAAATATTTATACAAAGAAATAAATCATACAAATACTAAAATAGATCATGTAATAAGATCCAACACACAAGTTTTAAGTTATATAAATACTTATAAAAAGAAATTAATAAAACACTACTCTATTAAGTATTGTTATAAGTTATATTTCCGTCTTGTGTCTAAAATGTGCTCCACCTCTCCCGAATCCTAGAGGTTTAAGAGATATATACATACTATAAGATTGTTGTATATACAAAATCTCCAATTATAATTTTCAGATTACTTACTTTCTCTTAAAAATCAGGGCATCATCCGTAGTGGGATCAAAGAGAAGACAGGAAAAACCAATTGATTCATGTGAATGGATAGTTATTTCATCTACACGTATAAAATTATTATTAGAAAATATACATGCAAAATAAATATAAAACATATATTGCACAAAATGAAAATAATAATGACATATGCTTAATTATCCATACCTTCTTTTTTATTTACACTCCAATCGGTTAAGACAGAAACCGCAAAAGAACCAGTGAATCCTTTGGTTCTTTCTTTGATATCAGCGGCAAAGTCCCCGTATGTGATGCATTTCAACTTCACATCCCTTTGATTTGAATAATTTAAGTTACAAACTTTGTTACCAAGACATAGTGATCGTGAGAGAAAATATAAACTTACCCGAGATCTATGATGGTGAAAGTTATTTTCTGAATAATATCTCCATCAGGGTTATTCTCTGTTTCAATGTCGCTAATATTTTCCATCACTCCAATGAGATCTACAAATCAATTATGAGAGAATATTTATCATAAACGAAATTCATTTTTTTTTCTATATATGTACAAATTTATATATGAAATCACTGAAACGAATATTAGTAGTTAATCTTACCAACAGGATACAACTGAGCATAAGAAATTTTGTATATCTCACTAAAAAGGACAAATTTCATGAAGGGATTCATTGTCAATGGTCGTAGACTTGAGACTTCTGTCCCAGTAGTGAGAATGATCTGATAATTGTGTCTCGTTGTTCTTCCCTCATTCTTCCATTCAGATGGTATCAAGCCGAATTTAGACAATTCAAGCCATCGTCCTTCGGTCCCAACACGGTAAAAATATGGAAAGGTGAGGTTACCACATGAAGCATTAATTCTACAACCCTATATACAATGAAATTTGCAAATAGATCAAACAAATAATAAATATAGACAAAACAGTTATATATTCATATTAGATAATACTTACATTTTTGTCGACTAAAATGAAATTCAGCCTTGGTAAGCCTTGACGATCAGGTTTATTCCATCTTTTCAAAACTTTGACACGGATTTTCCAATCTCGTCTCCATGCATGTAACTCATCAACAAAGTTATATGTAGTCATGTGGATAATGTTTTTATAAAGCCAAAGAAACAGTTGGGGAGAATGATTGCTTTGTTGTTTATTTTTAACAATGGATATGAGGAAATGAGGATATATATAACACCCAAATAACGGTTATGGAAAGTGTCGCGTGAATCAGTGCATTTTACATATTTTTTAAACTAAAAATGCTCCATTTTTGAAAAGTTGCAACTTATGATGAATATTCTAGATAGATTATTGGTTAACACGGTTTATCTGTTAAAGGAAGAGTCGAATATTTGTTACAACACAAATTTTTTTGGCCCATAAGATGTATAAAAATATTGGGCTCAGATGATATATAATTTAAGTGTAACATAATAAACCATTTATATCAAACAGAATTAGAATCAAATCAGTTATATATGTTATTGACATGCTTTTTAATAATCCAACACGCGCTATTTTTTGACAGAACATTATTAAAAATATTTAATATCGTTTATAATCCAATTTATTATAACAATGTTATTTTTATCCAATGACAATCCTTCATAAATAATCAATTCACGATAGCACATAATCATACTCCAGTAGTAAATTTCCCAAAAAAATGTATATTATATCTATAAGGAGTAATTTAAATCCAAATTAGAATAAATTATTATTTATTAATAATCGCAAAACAGCCTTGTAAATACAAAAAAGTGTCTAACAAAACTAATAATATATATGGATTATCGATTTTGAATCCTTTGAATCGACCCAATCCATTAGACATTATCTGCATCCAGCCCATATAATCTCTCTCTAATCCTGAAATTTCAATAACAAAATCATGTAGATCTAAATATATGAAAATATTTTTTTTTCATAAGTCAATTTAAAAAACACATAGAAACATACTTACTTATTGCGCAAGGTTAAAACTTCATCAATAGGTGAATCGGTGGTAAAACGGGACACACCATCATCATCATGATCCTTGATAGACACATTCTCTAAAACATATATATTGGAATATTGTTATGTTATATACAACGATTTTATAAATAACATATTGATGTATCATCAGAGAACATACCTCCGTTAATTGCTACACACCAATCGGTTAACACACATATAGCAAAGAGACCTTCGTATTCTCTACACTTATCTCTTATTTCAGTTGCCAACTCACCGTGTGCAACACACTCTAGCATATACTCCCTATATTTTGACAAAGAATGTAGTTAATAATTAGTTAGTTAAACTTCAAAAACATATAGTTTGAGATATACTTACTCATCATCTATTATATTAAATCAAATTGATGATGAAGTCGTTCCATCCGGGTATGTAATAGTAAAATATCTAGCATCTTCGACGACTCCAATCAAATTTGCGATTGTAATTAGTCAAAATAAAGACATTAGTGCGAACTATGAATTTTGCATTATAAGAAGATACCAAAATATTCTTACCAATTAGATAATAA